CTTTTATTAATATCATTTTATTTTAATTGAAATGAATGTCAAATGTCTTTATTAAATTTCTTTCCTATTTATTATTACTATCGCTATTGAAGAAGGCCTGATCATACTCATCCGTTTGTTGATAGCAAACTCCAAATTCGGGAAGAACTAGAAAAAAGTGGAATGGAATATACGTACATCATTACCGGATTATTCCAAGAATTTATTGAATGGTTGGAATTTGATCTTAAGAATAAGACAGCTAAATTTTACGTGGATAGCAATTCAAAGCTACACTCCACTTCTTTAGCTGATGTTGGTAAATATACAGTTGAATCACTTAAATTACCCGAAGCTCGTAATGCTACCATTAGAGTAGCTGGTTCATCTGATACATTTAACGAAATTCTTCAAATGTTTGAAGAAGCTACTGGTGTGTATTTATTCATTCATTTATTTATTTATTTGTTATTATCTCTCTTTTTTTTATCATAATACATATATATTTGTGTAATAATAATTACCAGGTTCAAAATGGAAAGTTATTGAAGATAGAGAAGTTCGATATCGATTCCTTAACAAAATCGAACCAATTCCATCATTCATGGAAGATTTAAAAGCTTTCGCTTGCGAAAATAGTACACTCAGTAAATTGGATAATGATAAATTTAGTTTTACTCCTAGACCTCTTGTCGAATATTTTAACACCGTGGTGAAAAACGCATAATAACAGATAAAAAATGTCGAGTAAAAATTTAGTTGGTTACAAAAATTTTTTTTTCCCTGTCAGTAAGAATTAATGTTGTTGTTACTTTTGTGAACTCCATATACAATAGTTTGTGATGGTGGAAAGTTGAACTTTCTAAAGGTTATTCCATGTATATAAAATTTTGCGAAAATACATATACATATAACAAAATTTCACAAAGAAACAAATCAATCACCTTCGCAGTTCTAAAATTATTGTTCGACTTGCCACCAATCTTATTGTTCCGTATGTCAATATGAAGAATAAATTTGAATATATAAAAAAATTATTATTCATTTTTTATTATAATATTATTATTGAAAAAAAAAAAAATTCGGGAAGAAATTCAAACTTTAAATGATCAATATTAAATATTATCTGTTATGAAAATATGAAAATAAAATAAAAAATGGTTTAATTTATAAAATATAATACGTTGTAAAATATATAAATAAGTACTGTTTTTGATTTGTTTGCAGTCTTATATAAAATTTATATTCTAAAAAACGTTGAGATCTTTTTCTAATATATAAAAATGCAATTGTCAGTGTCAGTATCATGCTGGATTGAAAAATATTATAAACTAGGATTTTGTGATTGCTACCAAAAATTAATATCAGGCAGAGAAAAATCATTCCAATTAGAATTGTTTTGAGAATAATAATCTCCTTGAGGAGTAACCATTTCGTTGAATAATTATTTCTTTAAAAAATTGATATCATTGACTAAAAGTGATGAATATTTTTTGTATTATTTATTATTAATTTATAACTCTTAATCAATAATTTCATTTCAATAATTTCACATTTCAATAATTTTATTTCAATAATTTTAATTGTACATTAATGAATCTTTGACTTTAATTTGATAGTTAAATAATTAAAGTGATATTATAAATATACTGTAATCAAAGCATTTAAATCCAATTTATTTGAATAATTGATTCAAATAGTTATTCATAATCGATTCGCAATTGAATCAAATAAAATATTTGAATAATAAACCTTTTTTTAAATTTTCACAATTGAAATTGTTTTATTCTAATAGAGAATTTTATATATTACAATACCTTGATTGTATATTATTTTATACTTTATTATATTATTATTGTTATTATTGTTATTATTATTAATTATTATTACTATTATTAATTATTATCCTTATTAAGTATCTATTATTATTTTTATCATTATTATAACATATTTGCAGTAACAATTTATTAGTTGAACACTTTTTGTGTTTAGAAGAAAAAACTAGATTATCATGATCGGCATACTTGTACTGTACGTAGTACATAATACTAACTGTTCAAATACTATACTGTACTAATATTAACCCTGGCTAAGGAATAAAGTATTTAGTTTTTTTTTTTTAACAAAATTGTAAGTTGGTCGATTTATTAACTTCTCTGACGATCATAATAGTAGAGTTACACAATTAATTACACAAGATGATCAAGCCGAGGTGAAAGTTGATCCGATCCGAAATGAAAAAAAAGTTAACCGCTAGGCGGTGAAAATGATTCGATGTTCATTTGGTTTCCCATTTGGATTAGGTTTAGAATTTCGTGGAAAGAAATTATCCGCTTGTAATGAAAGAAATGCTTATGTAATAAAGTTAACGCTTTGTTATAAAGTAATGCTTTGTAATAATTCAAGTTTTTACGATTTGTAATTAATCATCGAAACATTTTCTTAAAAGTATAAATATAAGGTCCAGGTGTCAACGAAATGGAATCTCAGATCTCAATCAAATATATCAAATTATATCGTTAATATTCTCAATTTACTATCAATTACCATGACAACAAAATATTTATTGCCGGGGTCACGGGTGACCTGGGTTATCCGATCGCTGAAGTTTTTTTAAATGATGGATCATATAAAATTAAGATCTTTCGTAAGAAATCCGAATTATTAGTTTCTAAAGGAGCTGAAATTGTCTATATGGGATTATACTCAAAAGGATGATTTGGTTTAAGCCCTCAAGAGAACTGATGTGATCGTAAGTGCTTTAAGTGCCCAAGGGACGGGTGGAAATTTTTATAGTGATCAATTACCATTTTTGAAAGCTGCTAAAGAAGTTGGTGTGAAAAGATTTATTCTATCGGAATTGGTGGTGAATATACGTACGTTTTTTTTTTATCTCTTTTATTTAATATCTTTTTATTTTAATTGAAATGAATATCAAATGTCTTTATTAAATTTCTTTCCTATTATTTATTATTATTATTATTATTTAAGGCCTGGTCATGCTCATCCGTTTGTTGATAGCAAAATCCAATTTCGGGAAGAACTAGAAAAAAGAGGAATGGAATATACGTACATCTTTAATGGAATGTTTCGAAAATTTGTTGAAATGTTAGGATTTGATCTTAAGAATAAGACAGCTACATTTTACGTGGACGGCAATTCAAAGTAAATTCCACTTCTTTAACGGACATTGGTAAATATGCCGTAGAATCACTTAAATTACCCGAAGCTCGTAATGCTACCATTAAAGTAGCTGGTTCAACCGAGACATTTTACGAATTCTTCAAAGTTTGAAGAAGCTACTGATGTATTTATTTATTTATTTATTCAGTTATTCGTTTATTTGTTATTATCATCTTTTTTTATATAAATTTTTAATCATAACACATATGTCTATATGTTATATATGTTTTGTGTAATAATAATTATTTCTGGTTCAAAATGGAAAGTTGTTGAAGATAGAGAAGTTCGTAACAAAATCGAACCAATTCCATCAATTACCGATGATTTTAGAGTTTTCATTTTCGAAAATGCTACACTTAGTAAATTGGATTTCCTCATGAACAAATTGACGTCATAGCGAAAAATGCATAATAGCCGATAAAAAATGTGGGAGTAAAAAATTTCATTGGTTACAATTTTATTTTTTTTTTGTCAGTAAGAATATTTATAATAACGAATCGTATATGAATATTTTACATCATTATTCCTTAATTAATAATGCGAAAAATTATATAATTAATATCGTTCATTACTTTTTGTGAACTATACAATATTATATTATGTGATGACGAAAAGTTGAACTTTCTAAATATTATTCTATGTACGAAAATACATTTACAATAAAATTCCATTCAATTACTAAAAGAAAAAATTAATCACCTTTTCGCAGTTCCAAAAATAGTACCTTAAATTTATCATTTTTTATTCTTTGATATATTTTGAAACAATACAATATTATTTTATTCATATTAAAGTTAACTACCGATGACGTAAAGATTTTTATTTATTTTTTTTTTTAATGATGTTAATGATAAAAAAATTTTGATAATTCATTTAGGATAATGATTTGGAATAATGATTTAGGAGAATATTAAATAAAATCATTATTGCCTATATATGTTTGCAATTATTTTATATGCGCCGTTTGTATAATATTATAATCTCTATGGTATGCGCATTATTATTAGAATAAAAAATATAATTTATTATTTAATAATAATTATTTAACAATGATTTTATTATGATTGCTATTACAATTATTGTTTTATCTATTTAAGCAAACCGACCTCCGTTTCTTGTGACTCTTCATCTCATGAAACTTTTTTAGAACGAAATCATAAATTTAAATTTTGACTATAATGCGAGAATTCTAATAAATCATCAAAAATACCAAGACTTTATTATAAAATAGATTTATTATCATTTAAATGTTGATACATATAAAATAATGAAATATTCATTTCACATTTGGAATTTGAAATTATTATAACAATCTTAAATACTTCATAATTAACAATAGAAAATCCTTCATTTGTTGTTCTAATGGATTTTTCATAACGATAATAATATTCAGAACCATAAATACACGATTGTTTATCTTTAGTAAAATCAGAATATAATATTTCGGCATTTAGACATGCCGTAATGTCGTAATTCCAGCCTAATTTCGGCGCCATCTATAATTGTGATAATCGTTTGGTTTTTTTTTGGATTAGGTTTGGAATTTCGTGGGAAGATGTAATTAATCATCCATCATTTATTAAAAGTATAATAGATGTCAACAAAACTGAATCTCAAAGAAATATATATCAAATATATATATCGTTAATCAACATGACAGTTTCAAGATTTGAAACTGTAGTTATTGCCGGAGCCACGGGTAATGTGGGTTATCCGATCGCTGAAGCTTTTTTAAATGATGGATCATATAAAATTAAGATTTTTCGTAAGAAACCCGAAAATAAAAATGAGAGAGCCGAATTATTAGCTTCTAAAGGAGCCGAAATTGTCTATGTGGATTATACTCAAAAGGATGATTTGGTTAAAGCACTCAAGGGAACTGATGTTATCGTAAGTGCTGTAAAAGCCATAAGATTCAAAAAGACGAGTGGCGATTTTTATAATATTCAATTACCATTGTTGGAAGCTGCTAAAGAAGTTGGTGTGAAGAGATTTATTCCATCGGAATTTGGTGGTGAATATACGTACGTTTTTTTTACTTCTTTTGTTAATATCATTTTATTTTAATTGAAATGAATGTCAAATGTCTTTATTAAATTTCTTTCCTATTTATTATTGTTATTATTATTACAATTACTGTATTATTATTATTGAAGGCCTGGTCATACTCATCCGTTTTTTGATAGCAAACTCCAAATTCGGGAAGAACTAGAAAAAAGTGGAATGGAATATACGTACATCTTTACTGGAATATTCCAAGAGTTTGTTGAAATGTTAGGATTTGATCTTAAGAATAAGACAGCTAAATTTTACGTGGATGGCAATTCAAAGATACACTCCACTTCTTTAGCGGATATTGGTAAATATACCGTCGAATCACTTAAATTACCCGAAGCTCGTAATGCTACCATTAGAGTAGCTGGTTCAACTGAGACATTTAACGAAATTCTTCAAATGTTTGAAGAAGTTACTGGTATTTATTTATTTATTTATTTTATTTATTTATTCATTCATTTATTTGTTATTACCGTTTCTCTCGTTTCTTTTTTATCATAACACATATATTTGTAATAATGATTATTTCAGGTTCAAAATGGAAAGTTGTTGAAGATAGAGAAGTTCGACATCGATTCCGTAGCCAAATCCCATCAAGTGCCGATTTAAAAGCTTTCGTTTGCGAAAATGGTACAGTCACCGATGATTTAAAAGCCTTCATTTGTGAAAATGGTACACTCAGTAAATTGGATAATGATAAATTTAGTTTTACTCCTAGTCCTCTTTCCGAATATTTTAATACCGTAGTGAAAGTGAAAGTAAAAAATACATAGTAGATAAAGAGTTCGGGGTAAAAATTTGGGTTTGTTGGTTACAATTTTATCATGATTAAATTACATGTTAAATTAGTCATGTAATTATTATTGTAATTATTATCATTTTTTTCAATAAACACTGTTCTCTGTCAGTATGAAACAAATAAATGAACATCATTGTTCTTTAATTACTAATGCGAAAATTGATATATTAATATTGTTCGTTACTTTTGTGAACTATACAATATTTATGTGATAATGAAAGGTTGAACTAAAGGTTATTCTATGTATTCTGTGTATTCTATTATGTATATAAAATTTTGTGAAAATACAATATGTAAAGAATTATTTTTCATTTTTTATTCTTTGATAATATTAATGAACAAATATATCGTAGTTATTATTGTTTTTATTGATTTTTTTTTTTTGTTATTGTAATTGATGATATAAAAAAAGGTTTAAAATTCGGGAAGAAATTCAAACTTTAAACGATTGAAATATTTTCCATTGTACGTCAACTCGAATTTCTTTTTTTTAATTACACAAATTTTATAACGATGAATTAAATTATTAAAACATTGAAAAAAAAGAGTGATGAAATTATTTAAATTGTTATTTCTCCCGAAAAATATATAAAATGTAAGTTATATGAAAACATCTAAAATCAATCAACAAGAATACCATAAACATTAAAGCGGAATGCGATCGTTGTCCAGAAACAAGCGTCTAACAGTCTGCAGAAGGTCGAGGGATAAATCCACGGTAACGTTGGTTATCCTATCGCTGAAGCCTTTTTAAATGATAGATCATATAAAATTAAGAAACCCAAAAGTAAAAGTGAGAAATCAGAATTATTTGCTTCTAAAGGAGCCGAAATTGTCTATGTGGATTATACTTAAAAGGATGATAATAAGCTACAAACAACAAAATTATTCCGTTCATGATTTAGTTTTTGAAGATCCATGTTAAAGTTTTAGAACTGGAGCATCTTCAAAGAACTTGCTGAAGTAATAACACTTGAATATTTAGTAATGCAAGTTCTGGTGACACGTGAAAAAAAGCCAGAGCATGCAAAGGTAGTTCAAGACTTTTTGCCTAAACTTGAGAACTTAACAGTTCGGCTGTACATCAACTGTTCCTTCAATCCGCGGATTAATCATCAATACCTTATTAATTATTATTGCTATTATTAATCATTATCTTATTAATTATCTTTATTATTAATATGATCAGACAATTTTTTATTCTATACTACATAATACATAATACTAATTGTTCAAATACTATACTGTACCCTTAAGGGATAAAGTATTTTAGTTTTTTTTTTTTTTTGTTTTGGTAAGCTTCATAATAATAGAGTTATACAATTAATTAGTTTTACTCCTTGTCCCCTTACCGAACGAGTTAACACCATGGTGAAAAAACGCATAATAGCAGAATTTCGTTGGTTACAAATTTATCATGATTATTATTAATTATTTGTAATATTTTTCCGTGTGTACATGTGTAACTGGTAACTTAAAATCATTTTTTGATAAATTAGATTATACTGATTGTACCGATTACGCATTTATCCCTTATTAAAACATTGATGACAAATCAGTTATCATCATTTTTCCGCCAAATAAGTTATAATGTTATAAAAATATTGTATAAAAACTTTGTTTATTAAAACATTGATGATAGTTATATTGCTTAAAATTTCTAAGTGTTACAGGTAAACTATTTTACTATTTTACTGCGGAACTGCGTATTACTATTCATACTGCATTTCTTATAACAAACGTTCTCGTCACGACTTTGGTACCATAGTAACGTAACTAAAGGATTTATTAACAAATTTGGTCAATTAGTAAGTTGATGATCATTAGTATGCTGGAAATGAAAAAAAAAAAGTTTCATATAAAGATATATATTATGTCTTTAATAGGAGGGAAAATGGGTGAAAATGATCCGATATTCATTTGGTTTCCATTTAGATTAGGTTTTAAAATTTCGTGTGGAAAGAAATCAATCGGAAAAGCAATGCTTTGTAATAAAGTTAACCCATTTGTAATAAAGTAATGATTTGTAATAATTCATTTTACGATTTGTAATTATTGATCATCGAAATATTTTCTTATAAATATAAGGTCACAGTATCAACAAAATGGAATCTCAACGTCAAAGAAATATATAATATCAAATTTTATCAAATACATATCATTAATATTCTCAATTTTACCATCAATCACCATGACAACAACATTCAAAACTGTAGCTATTGCCGGAGCCACGGGTAAACTGGGTTATCCGATCGCTGAAGCTTTTTTAAATGATGGATCATATAAAATTAAGATTCTTCGTCAGAAACCTGAAAATAAAAATGAGAGAGCCGAATTATTAGCTTCGAAAGGAGCCGAAATTGTCTATGTTGATTATACTCAAAAGGATGATTTGGTTAAAGCACTCAAGGGAACTGATGTGATTGTAAGTACCTTAGCTCCCAATAAGGCGCATATCGATTTTTGTACTATTCAAATACCATTGTTGAACGCTGCTAAAGAAGCCGGTGTGAAGAGATTTATTCCATCGGAATTTGGTGGTGAATATACGTACGTTTTTTTTTTTTTATTTCTTTTATTTAATATCTTTTTATTTTAATTGAAATGAATATCAAATGTCTTTATTAAATTTCTTTCCTATTATTATTATCATCATTATTATTATTGTTATTATTGAAGGCCTGGTGCTCATCCGTTTATTAATAGCAAAATCCAATTTCGGGAAGAACTAGAAAAAAACGGAATAGAATATACGTACATCTTTACTGGAATATTCCAAGAATTTATTGAAATGTTAGGATTTGATCTTAAGAATAAGACAGTTACATTTTACGTGGACGGCGATCCAAAGATACACTCCACTTCTTTAGCGGATATTGGTAAATATACCGTCGAATCACTTAAATTACCTGAAGCTCGTAATGCTACCATTAGAGTAGCCGGTTCAACTTTTACAATAAAGGAAATTCTTCAAAAGTTTGAAGAAGCTACTGGTGTGTATTTGTTTCATTTATTCATTTATTTGTTGTTATCCCGTTTTTTTTCACTTTTTATATAAATTTTTAATCATAAAATATATACACGTTTTGTGTAATGATAATTATTTCAGGTTCAAAATGGAAAATTGCTGAAGATAAGGAAGTTCGACATCGATTCCGTAACCAAATCGAACCAATTCCATCAATCGTCGATGATTTTAGAGTTTTCATTCTCGAAAATGGTACACTTAGTAAATTGGATAATGATAAATTTAGTTTTACTCCTCGTTCTCTTACCGAACAAATTAACACCATGGTAAAAAATGCACAATAGCAGATAAAAAAATGTGGTACAAATTTGGAGTAAAAGATTAAATTAGTCTTGTAACCATTATTATTATTTTTGAATAAATTCTGTTCTATTTTAGTAAGAATTATTTATAATAAATGAATTGTATTTAAACAAATAAATGATCATTTTCCTTTTCATTACTTTTGTGAACTATATACACCATATAGAATATTTTGTGATGATGAAAAGTTCAACTTTCTAAAGATTCTTCTATATATTCTATGTCTAACAAAGAAAAAAAATCAACCATCCTTTCGCAGTTCCAAAAATAGTATCATTATAAAAGTTATTCACCGAAATGAGAAAGTTTCATTGCGCGAGATTCACCATTATTTGATATTCACCATTATTTGATATTCGTTTGGATTAGGCTTAGAATATTGCGCCTCGAAATATATTTGATGACCGATTTTGTTAACTCTGTTATGTGCGCCTCGAAATTCAAAAAAGGAAGTTACACCCTTTGAATTTCGACGGCATGTCATGTGATACTCGTTAAAAATAGATCATTATTTTGATACTCATTTGGAAAATTCGTGGGAAGAAATCTTTTTTTTTCCGATTAATTTTCTTTAAAAGTAAAAATGTAAGGTCTAAGGTATCAAAGAAATGGAAGCCCAAAGTTAAAGAAATATATTAACAATATATCAAATATATCAAACATAGATCGTTAACAATATCAATTTACCGTCTATCAATTCACCTACCGTTGACAACAACATTCGAAAATTGTAGTTATTACCAGAGCCACGGGTAATCTGGGTTATCTGTTCGCTGAAGCTTTTTTAAATGATGGATCATATAAAATTAAAACCCGAAAGTAAAAATGAGAAATCCGAATTATTAGCTTTACAGTACTTGGATTATAATAAAAAGAATGATTTGATTAAAGCACTCAAGGGAACTGATGTGATCTTAAGTACCTTAATTCCGAGCGTGTAGCGATTTTTATAGTGTTCAATTCCCATTGGTGAAAGTTGCAAAAAGAAGTTGGTGTGAAGAGATTATTCCATCAAAATTTGAATATGCGTACTTTTTTTACTTCTTTTAATATCTTTTTGTATTTTGATTGTAATAATTTTATTAAAATTTCTTTCCTATTTAATATTTAATTAATTATTTATTATTATTATTATTATTATTAAGACGTGGTGATCGTCTGTTAATTTCGAATTCGGGAAGAACCAGAAAAAAGTATATACATACATTCTTATCGGAATTATTTGGGGTTTGATCTTAAGAATAAGATAGTTCAATTTTACGTGGATGGCAATTCCAAAGGTACACTCCACTTCTTTTAGTGAATATTGGTAAATGTACCATAGAATTATTTAAATCACTCGAATGCTGCGATTAGAGTATCTGGTTCAACTGAGACATTAAACGAAATTCTTCAAATGTTTGAAGAAGCTATTGGTGTATATTTGTTTATTTATTTATTGATTCACTTTATTCATTTATTTTTTTTTATTATTATCACGTTTATCACGTTTTTTTTTCATATAAATTTTTAATCATAACATATATGTCCATCTATATGTTTTATATATATATACCCGTTTATGTAATAATAGGTTCAAAATGGAAGATAAAAACTTTCATTTGCGAAAATTCACTCAGTAAATTAGATAATGATAAATTTGGTTTTACACCACGTCACGTAATGAAAAAATAAAAAAAAAAATTAAAAAATTGGGGTAAAAAATTGGGGTAAAAAAAATCTGCGGTTACAATTTTATCAGGAGGTATTTTTTTTTAAAGAAAAAATACATGCTAAATAGTCATGTTATTTTATTATTATTAATTTTCAATAAACACTGGTTCTCTGTTAGTAAGAATCATTTATAATAATGAATTGTATTGAAGCAAATAAATGATCATTTTCCTTAATTACCTTAATTACTAAGGGCTGATGAGAAAAATATTGATATAATTAAATATAACGTTCGTTACTTTTTATGAACTATATACATCCATATACAATATTTTGTGATGAAAGCTTTCTAATTCTCTATTTAATTCTATGTATTACAAAGATTGAAAATATCTAAGATAAAAATAAATCTATGTTTTCTATGTATACGTTTATTCTATATATTCTATATTTAAAATTTCGCGAAAATATATACTGTACATGTATATAACAAAATTTTATTCAATCAATCCTTTCACAGTTCTAAAATTGGTTTCAATTATTATTCGACTTGACACCAACCTTATCATCATTTTTCTTCATTAATGCAATAACATGAACCTTAAAAATTTTTTTTTCGAAATACTTGAATTATATTTGCATGCAATAACAACAAAGAACGAATTTATAACACGTAAAAAAAAAAGATTTATTTTTTTTTTCTAATATACAAATGATTTTTTGATCGAAGTTCGATGACGATTATGATTATTATTATCATCATATTCTATATTCTTATAATACTTTTTTATATTTATTTATATTAGTTATTATATTTATTTACATAAACGTTTCAAAAAAAAAAATTTATTTATATTACGGTTCATTAGTAAACTTGTTTCAAAAATTTTATTTATATTACGTTTATTATTATATTTATGTAAACTGTTTCAAATTTTTACTTTATATAGTTCAAATATTTAATGCTTAATGTGCATAATAAATAAGCTTATAGGCAAATACAAGCAATACAAGCGGAGAGAGAGTTTCATCTTATTAAATCTGGGTATTTTTTGCATAAATAACATAAATAACATAAATAACATAAATAACATTAATAACATAAATAACATAAATAAACAAATATAGTTTATCGTCATACCTTAAAACAAAATATGCAGAGATCCTTCCCGTAATGAGATTTTTCATACTAGAATTAAAAAAATAATAATATGAATAAATGTGAATAAAATTTACATGCACCCATTGTGCTCAATATTGTCGTATTGCAATTCTGCGATCCAGTCAAATTCCCGTCGTTTAATCAATCGAAAAAAAAACAATACGTGTTAAATTCGGCTCATTTACTATCTTTGCCTTATTTACCTTCTTTACCTTCTACCACAAATTTCTTTATATATATCTTTTATATATCTCTCTCCAATATAATATCTTTCTATATATTATATTTACAACATGCATCAATTAACTTGATTTAATTTATTAAAAATATTAAAAAAAAAAAAAATTATTATAAAAATGATATTAAAATTTTCGTATTAAATTTCATATTTAAATTTCGTATTAAATTTCGGGTCATAATAATTTCCTTTAAATTTAGAAGGTATTATTTGATCTGGTATTATTAAAATTTAATTAATTAATTAAATGACCTATTGAAAATAGAATCTTTAATGATTAATATATCTATTCGAATTTTGTTTGAATAATTAAATATAAATAATAAATAATGACGAAAAAAAAGGAAATGAAAGATAAAAATTTATGAGGGAAAATTTTAAATAATTAAAAAATCATTAAAATAATAAATAATAAATAAAAAGACAAAAAAGGAATTGACAACATCATTGGATTTTAGAATTATTTTTTTTTGTGTATTGTACAGTGGGGGGTATACTTATATTCTTATAACAGTTATTTATCTGGAATACAACATTAAACAGTTTTATATGGTGCGGGTTTTATACATCATCATTGACGGTTTTATCCATAAAATAGATTACATAAATGGTCTATAAATTCTATATTATTATTATACAGTAACATATTTTTTAACGATTATCTAAAGGCGAAAAAAGAATAATGAATATATTATTATGAAATGACTAATAAATTATGAAAAATATTTATAGAAAATAAAAGAAATTACAAAATGATATTAAATCCCTTTTTTTTTTAATAAAAAATAATTTTAATTAACCAAATTTAAATTAATTTTTAAATATTCCCAATGTTTCGAATGATTCTTTTGTTTCTAATGTTAAAAAACCAGATTTTTTAAACAATTAAAAAGGCATTACCGTATTTTTACCCTGATCCTTACACAAATCATTTTTCAACATACTCCAACATACATAAATGTACCCCCTTAAAATAAATAAATAAAAATTTTGTATTCTCTTCTCAACTATTCTCAATTTCTTCTGCGAATTTGATTTAATATATATCTATCTATATATATACATCATTTCTTGAGGCGAAATCATCATATTTTGAAATATCGATTATTTTTAAATAAATAAATATATATATATATATATATATATATATTTTTGCTTAAATATTTTTCTTGTAAATTTATTACATAATATAAACCTTATACTATTTATTATTCCTTAATCATATATTTATATAATTAATATACAAAATGTCTAATAATCATAATAATCATAATAATCATAATAATCATAATAATCAAAATATTTCATATACTTCACCCGCTACTCCACCTAATAATCCTCCCAATAATTTTGATCCTCATTACAATTATTTTTCACAGCAACAACAACAACAACCAACACCACAACGACAAATGGGTCAACAACAACAACGACCATCATCACCCTCACCAACACCACAGCAACAACAACGTTCATCACGTTTCTTTCGTCGTTCCACCACATCTAATACTTTACCATTAGATAAATCATTTAGTGTAAATTATACATATATTAGAAATGATAATGGATCAATAAATGTTTATCAACAACCTTCAAAAATTCAAAAATATCATCTTCTCACTCCATCATCAAATAATCCTCATGTATCAATTATAAGTAAACAAACTTCGGATATTTTATGGGATGCAAAAGTAATTAGTTCAGATGAGAATTCCGAACCTAATGAACCAAAAATAACACCAACCGCTAATTGGGAATGTGTTAATAATGTTATTAAATATAATAGTAGAAATAGTTTGAATGGTCAGAATAAGGATAAGAAGAATAATCTTAGACCACAAAAAACTCTTATCAAATATAATAGACAAGTTAAAGGTTACGCGTGTACTTGGAATGGGAGAGTATTTTTATGGAAATTATATGGAAATGGTGGAAATATTTATTGTACTGAAGGATTAAGTGAATTAGGTAGAAAGGTTGCAGAATTTGATGATAAATCCAATACTATAACTATTGATTTGAATGGTAGATTAATTATTCAAGAAGTTCTTAAGGCTAATAATGATGATAATAATAATAATAATAATAATAATAATCATCATCATCCTTATCAATTACCAACCATCACCACAACGGAGAAATTAGGGGTGGCTATATCTCAAAAATCATCATCTCAAAGATCATTAGCATCCGTAAATGATGAATTAAGGGATACCGCTGAAATTGAATCATTCGAATCATTCATGTTATTAACTGGTTTAATTGCTAAAAATTCAGCAAAAAAATTACAAAACCCTGTTAATCGTATGAGTAACTATGGTGATAATACTTATTTATTTAATTATACTCCATTCTTTGTTTGTTGTGGAATCCTTCAATTGACTTAATTCATTTATACTCAAATATCAATCTATCTATCTATCTATAGTATGAAGTAATAGTAGTATAAAGTAGCATAAAGTAGCATAAAATAGTATATAGCATAATAATATATATATAGCGTAAATATAATATATATATATATATATAGCATAAAAATAATAGCATAAAAATATATAGCATAAAAAATATATTCCAAATATATATATATTATAAAGTATATAGCATTGATATCAGATTTAAATATCTTATCTACCTTTTTTTTTCTTCTTGTTTTATTATTGCTTTTTTTTCTTATTAAACTTTTCCCTTATCTTTAAATTTCATTGAATTAAAGAATTATTTTTGAATAATTATTGAATAATTATTTGAATTTTATTATTAAACAACTCATTATCTGTTATATGTGTGTAAATATATATATTATAAAAAATCATTAACGTGGTGTATTTGGTGTATATACATGTATGTATGTATGTATGTATTTATAAAATATATCAAATATTACGGGAATTTATTATCGAAACATTCGCATATATGCTATTTGGAAGAAATAATTAATATTAATATTAAATAATATTAATATTAAATAATAATAATAATGATAACAATAAATAATAAATAATAATAATAATAATAATGATGATGATGATGATGATAATGATAATAATAAATAATGTTATTAATTTACCTAAAATTAATGCTCCAGCTCCAGTCAATGTACCTATTAATATATAATATCAATTAATTAATAGATAATAAATAATAAATAGATCAGAGAATAATAAAATAATATTAACCAATCATATATTGTAAAATCTGGAACTTAATAGCTTCCATTTGAGTTCTCATATTACTGATTTCACTTTCAATCTTGGTATCAGTTTCTTTTAATTTCATTTCTAAAATACTCGCCTCATCTCTTATTCGACCTTTATCCAAACTGATATCTAACCTCGTACTAGCTTGGGTTCGTTTGATTTCATCCCCCAACTTTTGTTTAAGTTTTTCAATTTCACTTAATAACCTTTCATTATCAGATTTTAACATGGAAAAATCATTCTTTTCTAACATTTGAATTTCGGATTTAAGTTGAGCGAAATCTACCTTTGATGTATAAATCGCCTAACCATTTAAACAATATGATAATAAGAATTAATAATAAATTATAATAATTTGATGTTGATAAATGATATAATAATAATACCTACTTTTTCTTGCTCAGATTTAGTTACCATATTTCTGGTTAAATTTTGCATACTTTATCATTATAATAATGATAATAATTAACATTAATAATTAATAATTAACATTTATAATTGATAATTAACATTTATAATTAATGATTAACATTTATAATTAATAATTAACATTAATAATAATAATCAACGCAAATTTAAAAGTTAGAAATTTAAAAAATTAAAAATTAAAAAAAGAAAATCACCAAAATTTTTTTTTTAACTTTAATCAATTTACCTTTCACTTATAACTTCCGCCAAAGAATTCATTATCGCTTCACTTTGCTGTCGAGTGAACCCTTCCGCTTCTAATTTTTGTACAAGTTGACTGGTATCAAATAAAGTCGGTGACTTTATTATCGACGTTTCACTAAATAATCTCCTTTTGACTATATTGACATTATTATTGACAACATTATTATTATTACTACTATAATAATTATTATTATTACTATAATTACTATTAATATTTTGATTATAATTTATCTTCTTTTTGGGATGTGTGAAATGTGTGGAATGTGAAAATAACAGTGGTATTGAAAATGTCGGAAACGAAAGACTATTTATATTACTTTTATTAATTATTATATTATCGAATGTATTAAATGAAGAATAATAATAATAATAATTAGATTGTGGTGATGTTGGTGTTCGACGACTGACGAAAAACTTTGAAGGAACATTAATCGATTTCATAGTATTATCAATAGTAGATTATTGATGATTATTTCTTTACTAATATTAGGAATCACGAGACATCGTATCAGCTAATTCACAGGAATTGCTAAATTAGAGAGAGAGATTTCAAAAAAAAAAAAAATAATAAATAATTTTAAAACCTTAAAAAACTCAATATTTTATTATATTAACCATCTTTCGGCCTCTAAGCAAAAATGTTAAACACTAAATTTTATTTTACATATATCTGTAATTTTCTTTATTATAATTTTGTCAAGTCAATAAAAGTCTGTCACGCGATTAAATTATTTACTAAATAATCTTCTTTTGACTGTATTAAAAACATGATAACATTATTATTACTATAATTATTATTAATATTATGATGATAATTTATCTTCTTTTTGGGATGTTTGAATGATAATTAGGTCGTGGTGTTCTGATGAAAAACTTTGAAAAAAACTTTAATCTCATTAATAGTATTATCAATAGTATTATAAATCGATGATTAATTTTTTTACTAATATTAGGAATCACGGGATATTTACTTTATTTATTTCATAAAAAAAGATTTAACCAATTTTTTAACTATTCTTTATACTAAAAAATGAAATTGGTAACGAACAAGTAGTAGTAGAGTAAAGTAGTAGTAACGGATAAGTTGATAATAAAGAATAAATGATATTAAAGAATTATTCTTTAACTAAATAATTCTTTATTATCGCTTATTTTTCACTATTCACTATTATTACTACTACTTATTCCTACCAACAAATTTTATTTCTTAAATAATAAAATATATGTCCCGTGATTCCTGAAAATAATCGATAATCTACTTGTAGAATAAGAATAAAGTATTTCGAAAGTGAAATCATGAACTTCCAACTTCCAGAAATAATTGACAACGAAAATGGTTGGGGTCCTTCTCCGGCAATGTTACCAGAAAAATTTAGAGATATTCCATATGCTCCATATAGTAAAGCGGATAAATTAGGAAGAATTGCGGATTGGACAACTCCAGAACAAAAAGAAAAAGAAGCAACCGGAAGGCAAAGACAAAATTATCGTTATCGTGGTAACGTATGCCTTTTTTTTTTAAAAAAAAAAAAATGTTCGACTGGTATCACTATAGATTAATAATAATTTTAATTATTATTTTTTTTTCTTAAAAAAAAAAAAAATAGATCAGTATACAGCATATGGTCACGGAGCATCTAGTGCCTTTTCTTATACCCACGCCGAAGATGAAGCAACATTTTCTGTAGTTGATAATCGATCACCTGCACAAAAGAAAGCTTCATATAGAACTCCAGGGAGTAACAAGGTTTGTAATAATAATAGATGGATTGAAAATTCCACAACACACAGAGAAAATTCTTATAATTTTAATTTTTTTTTTTTAATTGTTTGTAGAATCGTGGAGGTATTCGTAACCAGCAACGTCAACAAAGAAATAATCAATATCAAAGACTTGGAACAAATAATCGTAATATGCCTGGAAATAAAAATAATAATGTCAGGAAAAAGATTTAATTATTATTATTATTATTATTATTATTATTATTATTATTATTATTATTATTTTGATGATTGATTAGATTTTTTATATATTCTTTTAGCCTCAGCGGACGCGAGATGCTTCAGTAAATGTTGGTCCAGAATGGAAAGTACTTGAAGAAATTGAATTTAATCGATTATCTAAACTTAATTTAGAAGTAGATGATGGAGATGATGTGTATGTTGACTTATTTATTTACATGATTTCTATATAATTTTTCTTCTGATTTTATAAATAAAAAAAAAGAACTTTTTTTTTTTCTAAATTCAAGTTCTTCGCATGGATTTCTTTATCATTACGATAAGTCTTATGATCGCATCCCCGCCAAAACTGAAAAACCTTTACTTCCCAGTGAACGTGTTCGATATTTTATTTCTACATCTAAAGATCCTATTATCAAACAAGTGAGTTGAATATATATATAAAAATGTATATATATATATATATGTGCATTTATATTATTATTATTATGATAAATTAACAATAATCATATTACTTTTATTATATCCATTTTGATAATTTTGTAACTATTAATACTATTGAAATTTTTTAAAAAGCTTTCAAGAGATGATGAAGCAGTAGTTTTTGCCACGGATACGATTTTAAGTTTATTGATGTGTTCCCCTAGGTCAGTGTATCCTTGGGATATTGTAATTAATCGTATGGGAAATAAACTTTTCTTTGATAAACGAAGTAATGGTGTATATGGTGAGAACAAATTATATATATATATATATTGTTTTGTAAATAATTCATTATATTAATGCTATTTAATTTTAATATGTAGATTACATCACCGTAAACGAGAATGCCGCCGATCCGCCTATTGAAAGTGCAGATAAAGATAATATAAATTCCCCCAATGCTCTTTCATTGGAGGCAACAGATATTAATCATTTTTTTGCTATGCAAGTAGTAAATGAGGTATTGTGAAAAGACCTCGATAATAATTCAAAATAATCAAAATAATTAAATTGTTGTATGTTTTTTATTTTATTTTATTTTATTTATTTTATTTTTTTTTTTTTGATGATGATGATGATGATAGACAAAAAGACATGAATTTGAGAAACCAAATCCATTTGTTAATTCAACCGAAGAAATAGAATACATGGCACCTTGCGCATATCGTTATCGTAGATTTGATCTGAGTATAAATGAAGAAGAAAATGTGACAATGATCGTTCGTACTCAACTGGATTCAGTGGTTGAACAACCCAATGGTAATTCATTCCTTACGATCAAAGCTTTAAATGAGTTCGATTCTCGAGCTCAAGGTTCCGGAGGATCATTAGATTGGAGACATAAATTAGATACTCAACGTGGTGCGGTCGTAGCAACCGAAATGAAAAATAATAGTTTTAAATTAGCTCGATGGGCTGTACAAAGTATATTAGCGGGTGCGGATCAAATGAAATTAGGGTATTGTGTTATTATGAATTATTATTATGTTGATGGTGGTTGGAATATTATAATTTATTATGACTTTGATGTAATTAATATACTAATGGTATTTTACATATTTAGATATGTATCTCGGGTTAATCCCAAAGATAATAATCGACACGTAATTTTGGGTACTCAGTCTTCTAAACCACGTGAATTTGCTGCCCAAATGAATTTGTCGGTATCTAATGGGTGGGGAATTGTTAGAACCATTATTGATATTTGTATGAAATTGCCGGAAGGTAGATATGTACTAATTAAAGATCCAAATAAGGTAATTTATATCATTTGATTTTTTTTTGTTTTATTTATTTATTTATTTAAATAATAACAACAACAATATTATTAATTAATTAATTAATTAATTAATTAATGTAGCCGGTAATTCGCTTATATGCAGTTCCTCAGAATACTTTTGATGTAGAAGAAGTTATTGATGATGTTGATGATTTAGAAAATGACGAGGAAGATGTTGTTGAGAAATAAAAATAAATTCATTTTTTTCAATAATCCATTTTGAAAGAATACACTCATCCTAAAGTATTACTTACAAGTAAAATATTTACCTCCAATTGCAAGCAAATTTTTACCACCAATTCATTTATCTCAATTCAAAAGATTCCATATTTAATAAAAAAATTTTCTTGTAACTATTGTACTTTATTGTATTTTAATAAATCAAAATTGCAAATGTTATAGCATCACGTGTTGTGTTCTATCGAAATCCTGCACGCGACAATGTTTATCCCTGATGTGTACGCAAAGGTATCGTTTTTGATATATTTATGGTTATTTTTATTGATATATCAAATTTCATGTGACAAAATAGGTATTTTTTTTGATGCATCATAAATAAAACTACAGTATGACGATAAACTGTACAGTGGGTGATCAAAAATCACCGGACAGTTGAAAATTTTTAAAAAATTACTAAAATTAAAATGCTAATTGTACCACAACGAGTGATCTAATTTGCACAAACTTTTTTTTATTAGATTCCCCTAAACCAGAGCTATTATATAATATATTTTTGTTAA